TCAAGTGTGCCACGATGTTCTTTCGCCCTACATAGACAGTTTTAATAATGTGTTTTTCAATATAGCTATGCAAGATAATGATATATTTCGCATGTACATAAATTATTACAAGTATAGAAGTATACCATTCTTTTAGGTGTTCTGCTCTAGGTACCTTAGGTTCAACCACTATTGTTGAATGATTTCTGTACTATATATATATATATATATATATATATATATATATATATATATATATATATATATATATATATATATATATATATATATATATATATATATATATATATAATCGCACTCAGGTGCGAATGCTTCGCCTAGGCACGAAATAGGAATGGATTCTGTCCGTCCACGTGTCCAGATCTAATGGATGAGAAACACTGATTTTTAAAAAAGGCACGGTGGCATTTTCGTAAATAATTGAATATCGAAGTGCAAGTAAAATGTATTACAAGTGCATGTAAAATGTATTATAGGTGCAGGTAAAGATTTACACTGAGCATCAATACAAAGTGCACCTATTGTTATAAGTAGTTGCACATATAGTTCTAAGTAGTTGCACACATAGTTATAAGTAGTTGCACCTAGGTGCATGAATGTTTGCAGGTGGTTTTCAGGGGTATTACTACCCGCTGAACTCAGATCAATGAAAGTTAACAAGACAAAAATTACATGCACTTATAGGTGAAAGTAGTTGCACCTATAGTTATAAGCACACCCAGGTGCATGAATGTTTGCGGGAAGTGAATGCTAACAAGGCAAAATTATATGCACTTATAGGTGAAAGTAGGTGCACTTGTAAGTGATTTTACTTGCACTTCGATGTTCAATTATTTACGAAAATGCCACCGCGTTTTTTTTAAGCTATTAGATCTGAACACGTGTTGCGCGCTGATTCGTTCGCATATTCCTTCCTAGGCACTTATTCGCACCTAAGTGCATCCCTATATATATATATTTTGAGTACTACTGCCTTTTCAACCTGTTGAAGCACAAAGAATCAATGTCCCACTGGGGTTTGAACCTGCTACAAGCTACTTGAAATTGAATTATATTTACTTGTTTCTTTTTACAAGCTACAAGAATCAATGCCCCACTGGGGCTTAGCCTTGCTGAAATTGAAGTGGATTTTTAAGTTTTACTCCATTTTATCTCTTTGTAATATGGCAGGTTTTGATTCATCTATTCTCTTCTCATTTGTTTCTGCTGCATACTGCTATTTCTTCAGGTTTGTGAGTTGCATTAGGCAAAGTTAAATGACACAATCCTACAGTCTCGTATAGGTCCCTTTTCAAGTTATAGTGAACCTGTGCCAGTGCCAGTTGAGAAGACCTTTTGCCCAATTCCTGTAGCAAATGTAGAGCACAAAGTTTTGTTGAAGCCAGGCAACCTTGAGGTGTAGGAAGATACTTCATTCCGGTGGCTGCTTGTTTTGACCTAACTTGATCTGTCTTTAAAGTTTAGACAAATCTGGAATGAAATCATATACTTAAATCGTGCCTTAGTTTGCACAATCAACAGAAATCTTACTGATATTTTATTATGATTCATATATTCTTGGGATAAATATAAAATAGTTTACAGGGGGAATGAAAGATTGGGACAAACTCGCAAATACAGACTCTGTAGGATATAAAATGTAGGTCTGGTTTTATTAGGAACATCCCTTGATTAAACGTACTAATTCCATCACCCTGAATTGACGACTCATATGTGCATGTTCCCCTCTACTATATGTAGCTCTTTACATGCAGATTGGTTATGCTTACATGATAGTATTGTTGGTTTTATCACTTTTAACTGGTTTTCGATTCGCAAGCACAATTGCTTGCTTGAACGAAACAAAGTACTGTATATAAAGAACAAGTAACAAGAATGTAAGCAAGAATTTAAAGCAAGACAATACTTAAAGAATTGACTCTTTACATGTCCCTTCAAGGTATTTATACTTAGGTCGAAAACAAAACAAAAATAATCTAAATCTTGTTAGCAAATCAAGGATCTATTTTCTCAAACATTTCTCTCTGGATTTTTCTTCATAGAAACTGTCCCAAACATTTCTACATTGAAGTAGATATATTTCAACATTCAGCAAACTGATAGGTCCCAACTACAATTATAAAGCTTTCAAAAATCAAGGAATCATGGTTTCATTACTCTTCAATACAATATTTCGACCTATAACAACCGTGTTATCATTTTCATCTCTCAGTTTAACAGACTGCCCTTTGTATGAAATAGTCAAAGCTGTGGCCATTTGATTATTTCTAGAAGTTTCAGATTATGAAGTGTTGCCTGCCAACCTTGTTGCTTCTCTGAAATGGAAACAGAATATTAAAAATTAAAATTAAACCTCTTTCTGCTTTGAAAGAGTGAAAGAAGAAAATATGGGCAGGCATTAGTCAATACAGGAAAAACAATCTCAAGAGGAAGAAAAAAAATTATTACTATGAGAACAAGAATCAAGTAAAGAAAAACAGGAATAAACCAGAAGGGGAACTGGAAACCATCAATCTTCCAATTCAGTTCTACATAATTTATATGCATGTGTAAAAGCATGGTCCAATTTCTATCTCTAAATGGCAAATGAGAATCACCATTTGCAATGGATTCAACAACACCCTTCAGTGCAATATTCCCCTGATTTATCTTAGCAATCAGAATTTGGAGCCACATAATAAATATGGTTAACAACTTGGCAAAAAGGACTAAATGAAGCATAAAAACTATGGTTAAGAAGTTGAGTAAAGCATAATTACCTGCATCTTTGCATCAAAACCATCTTGTCCAACTTGTTCTATATTTTCAGAACCTGCCATGTCAACAAGCATAAGCCGCCCTCCAACTGTTGGGACATTAAGAATTATCTACAAAAGTAGGACATATAATATTTTAGATCAGATCCTAAAAGACTTGTAACCAAGTCATCATAGGAATTACCATGCAATGACTTCTGGAACTTCTGTCATTATTACTTATCTTTTCTACTTTCTAGATCTCTTTCGATAGAGAGCCTGCATCATTCCCAGAAATAAAAGTCACATTTTTTGCCCTTTTTCCAACATTACCTGCAAATGCAAACATATAGATACTTGGCACCATACTGAAAGATATGCAAGAAAACAATCACCTAGCTCCCTATATGCATAATACAAATGGCCCCCTTTTAGAGTGGTGACGACATTTTCACAGCAGATGACTTTTTGACAAAAGGAATTCATGCTAAAAGCAAAATAGACGGCATAGATTAAGTTATCCAAAACAAAGAGTAAAGAAAGAAAGGACTAAGATTTTTCCTTCATACATTGCTAGGTCAAAAAGAACTGTTTTTAGAACAATTAATTTTGTAGATATACCTAGAAAATATTGTCAATATAGGACAAATTTCCTTTCAGTTGATTGAAGGGAGGTATAACCAACTTACAAGTAGCAAGTAGAGCTCCCAAAGATTCCTGTAAATGATCGATAAATCTTATTGATGTCATGAAAAGCAACTAATCTTGTAGGATAAAGAGATTTCTGACCTTGGAAGACGTATACAATAGTATTATTAATTGACATGTCATTCTGGAAAACTCTATCTCATGTTTAATTCCTTGAGAATACAATTTTACAATGATGTCAAGCTCCTCCCTAATCAAAGAGACAGTTAACTTGTCCAGCAATCCTCTGTTTGCTCAGAAAAAAAAAATAAAAATACATGACCCAGTAAGAAACAACACAGTCATTAGGTAGAAAACAAAAATCAGTATAAATCTTGTTAGCAAATCAAGGATCTATTTTCTCAAACATTTCTCTCTGAATTTTTCTTCATAGAAACTGTCCCAAACATTTCTACATTGAACTAGATATATTTCAACATTCAGCAAACTGATAGGTCCCAACTACACGCCAATGCTTTCAAAAATCAAGGTATCAGGGTTTCATTACTCTTCAACACAATATTTTGACCTATAACAACCGTGTTATCATTTACCATTATTTTGTTCATTATAAATTTTAAATTTGTTACTCCAACAGTGCTACCTGAATAAACATAAATTCATGCATTCTTTTTCTTCTCTAAATGAAAAATGAACATGAATAATATTTCCAGAAGAGGATGACCAAACACAGTGGAAGACTTGGAAGCAGTCAAGAGTAATACAATGGAAAATGCAACTCATAATACCAAAGTCCATATGAAGAATTCTCATCTGCAGCTACTTACATATTTTTCAAGCTCATGAATCTCTTTTTGAAGCTCAGATCTTAGTCCATAATTCTCTTCCACCTGTAAATAACGTACAATACAAGATAAATCAGTAAATCAAGTTAACCACTATGACTAATAGACAAAATGATTTCGAATGCAAAATCTCAAATGCAGGTAGTTAACTGACTCCAAATGCAAAATCTCAAAAAGCACAAAATTTATATACACATATTCAAACTAAAAGGATAGTATATTACTTGATAAGCAAGATTGGATGATAAGATCATTCATTCTAAAGGAATTAATCTTTGAGTTAAACTGCACAGAGAGTCGTATCATAATGCCAACACACACACACACACACACACACACACACACACAGGTGCCCAAATCAATTACAAGCTAACGCAAATGTCAAAATTAAAAAACCTGCGATATCCTTTGCAATTCGGCGAGGTGATTCACCGAGGTTGGGCGAAACCTTGATGAATAAATTCCTTCTGAATGATGAAAATGATGAACAAAAGGAGGTCTCAGGCTAAAAAACCAGCAAATTCAAATGTAAAACACAGAACATACAGAGTAATGCAAAGTATATTAGACAACACAAAATGAAATCAAGAAGGGCTCAATTGTCTTTATCCATCTCATTCTGTTATAACGGCCTTTGGCGCCTGTTTTAGAAGCTGTATATTAGCTCTCGTAAACTGCCTAGAGCAGCAGTTAGATCATTCATCATCATCTGTAATCAACCTTTTCCTCTCAATGCAAAGTTACTGTTTCATCGCATAGCTCAACTTCCATCATGGTATCAGAGCCATGGAAGATCAGCTACGCAGCTGCTATTTCCGGTGAGACCGGCCAGTCGTCTCGCACACCGGTGATGAATCAACCTCCGATTCAAGCAGCGCCGCAAACCTCCATACCTCAAGTCGTTCCGCAGAGGAGCGCCACTGAAGATGTAGAGAATCCTCTATATCTCAACACTAACGAGAATCCAAATAGCGTATTGGTGAGAACTCCTCTCACAGGAAGCTTCAATTATGGCTCGTGGAGCATTTCAATGCAGGTTCCGTTAGAAGTGAAGAACAAATGGTCCATTGTCGACGGAAGCATCGAAAAACCAGATAGAAACCATGGACACTATGCATCTTCGAGAAGATGTAATCTCATGATCAAGTCATGGATTCTTAAGGCGGTACATCCTTCAATTGCTCAGAGCATAATATATATGGATGACGCAAAAGAGATCTGGAACGATCTGAAGAAGAGGTTCTCGCAGCGCGATCCTCATCGCATATCGATTTTGCAGTGCGAGATTTATGGATTGAGACAAGGAAACTTGTCGATCAATGAGAATTATACGAAGTGTAGGTCACTGTGGGAGGAGATGAACGAGATGAGGCCACTCCCAATCTGCAAATGCAATCCTCATTGCTTGTGCTCAGGTGCTCTAATTGATGAAGTTCGAAAGGATCGAGAAATAGATCAAATAATTCGTTTCTTGCAGGGATTAAATGATGATTATAATCCTTTGAAGTCCAGCGTTTTGGTTCTAGATCCTCTGCCCGAAATTCACAAAGTGTATGTGATGGCGGAGAAGTTTGAAAAGCAACTCAATCTCAACAGTTTGAACCTAGAAACCAGCCATGCCAACTCTATCCAGAGCAATCCGAAAGCAACAGAAGAGGTTGTCGCAGCAGTGAATCAGTACTATGGCAAAAGGAACATGAATTCCGGTGGAAACAAGAGTGCAAAGTGCACGTATTGTGGCATGACGGGGCACACCGTCGAGAAGTGTTACAAAAAGCACGGCTACCCACCGGGATGGGTGCCGGGCTACAAATCGAAAGGGAAGCAATCTGCCATAGCTGCCCCTACTGCTGGTTCCAGTCTTGATACTGCCTGCTCCAATCCTGAGAATAACATTGCTTCTGAGCAGATACAGAAGCTGATTTCACTTCTACAAACACAGATGGGGCATAATCAACCGCCAATGAGTGCTGCTGTTTCATTGGTCCCAAAATTTGACAAACCAGAGGCACAAAATACAGGCAAGTCTCATACTGTTTCTCATGCTATCAATTTTGTTAATCTTGATTCCACAACTTGGATCCTTGATTCGGGAGCAACTGATCATATAGTTTGCTCTCGAGAATTCTTTAATGTTTGTCATGTTGTTCAAGGAGCAAGGGTAAATCTACCTAATGGAGAAACAGTCATAGTACAACATATGGGAGATATCAACCTGGGAAAGGAACTTTGGCTACGAAATGCCCTGCACATCCCACAGTTTAAGTTCAATATAGTTTCAGTAAGCAAGCTCATCAAAGATTCCTCTCACACTTTAATATTTGATTCTGGACAGTGCCGGATTCAGAGCGATGGGAGAACAACTGATTTTGCTAGAGAGGATAGAGGCCTATATCTGCTGCTTCAACCACAAAAAATCAGCTTACATAGCAACTCTATTGTGCAATGTAACAGTGCTATGGCTACCATTGAGTTGTGGCACAAACGTTTAGGGCATTTCCCATTTAATAAAATTCATCTCCTTTGTGATATTCCCAACTCTCAGTCAAAAATGGATCCATGTGATGTATGCCACTATGCTAAACAAAAACGCCTCCCATTTCCCTTGAGCAGTACATCATCAAAAGCCATTTTCAATCTAATTCATGTTGATATTTGGGGCCCGTTTCCAGTGAAATATATGGGAGGGGAGAGGTATTTCTTAACCATCGTAGACGACTATTCAAGATACACTTGGATTCATCTCATGAGAAACAAGTCTGAGACCCGAGAAAAGTTGAAAAATTTTCACAAGCAGATACATACTCACCATGGCCTAGCTATTAAAACTCTGCGCAGTGATAACGGAATGGAGTTCAACTTGGTGGATTTCTTTGCTGAACATGGCATCATTCATCAAAGGTCATGCGTCCATACACCCCAACAAAACGCGGTGGTCGAACGCAAACACCATCATATCATGAGTGTGGCAAGAGCTCTTCGATTTCAAGAAAAATTACCTCTTGAATTCTGGGGATTATGTGTAATGCATGCTGCGTTCATCATCAACCGGCTTCCTTCTTCAGTGACTGATTGGATTAGTCCCTATCAAAAACTCTATGGAGAGAAACCGACCCTTGAGAACATCAAGATATTTGGATGCTTATGTTACGCAGCCACACTGCCTAATCAGAGACACAAGATGGCTTCACGCAGCAGGCGATGTGTCTTCGTTGGTATACCTGCACATGTCAAAGGTTATTTGGTGCACGACATGCAGGACAACTCAACGTTTATATCTAGGGACATCATCTTCTATGAAGACTACTTTCCCTTAGCCGAGCAGAGTGAGATGGCAGAAAGCAAGCACGCATTCAAGCCATCTTTGCCAAATGTATCCATTGATGATACTGCAGAATTCACGCTCCCAGATTGTCATATCATTCATGAGATGCCGTTTGGGTCCATTCCTAACAGCAGCAGCTTGAGTCCATCACACAATTCTGGAAGCAACACCAATGTAGCCAGCAGCCCTCATGGCAGCCCCCCCATACATCTGCAATGAACCTCTACTACATGAAGCCAATGATGAAGCTAGTGAGGTAGCAGAACCAATATCTTCTCTTGATCCAGTAGATCAGCCAAGGAGATCCAGTAGATCACGAAATTTTCTAACAAAATTGCATGACTACTATTGTGATGCTACAGTGGCTACCAAGACATCACCCCACTCCATGTCCAAGGTGATATCCTATGCTAATCTTTCATCTTCACACAAGATATTCTCCATGGCAGTCTCTTCTATGAAAGAGCCAAGAACTTATGGCCAAGCAGTCATTCATGACTGCTGGAAAAAGGCCATGAATGAGGAAATTATAGCCCTCCAAAACAACAACACATGGGAGCTGACAGAATTGCCTCAAGGAAAGACACCGATTGGATGTAAATGGATTTTCAAGACTAAACTTCATGCAGATGGCACAATAGAGAGGCACAAAGCCAGATTAGTAGTGAAAGGCTACACCCAACATTTTGGTGTGGATTACATCGAGACGTTTTCACCAGTGGCTAGGTTGACCACCATACGCACATTCATAGCAGTGGCAGTCTCTAAGGCTTGGAATATACATCAAATGGACGTTAACAACGCGTTCCTACATGGTGATCTTAATGAAGAGGTATACATGGTTCTACCACCTGGATTTCAAAGCGAAAAACCAAATCAAGTTTGCAGTTAGACAACACAAAATGAAATCAAGAAGGGCTCAATTGTCTTTATCCATCTCATTCTGTTATAACGGCCTTTGGCGCCTGTTTTAGAAGCTGTATGTAACACCCCAGATTTTCAAGACATTTAAAACTTATAGAATAAAGGTGAAATCTCATTAAATCCCAAAACATAATACAAGAGTATGGGGTGCTATGCCACACCTGAGCTAGAGAACGCAGGTGCACAGGCTAACTACTAATATCCTCAATAATGTAAACGCATAAGCATGACACGCAGGCCAAAAAGGGAACTATCTACTTCTACGTTCCAAGTTCTAGCGCGCTCCAGTGACTTATTCTTCTATGCCTGAAAGCCAAATATATCTGTTCAGCGAGAGATGCTGGTAACCCACTCCAACGCGTTGAAATACAATACATATAGAGATATATATGGATATATGAAAACCATTATGAGCATGAAGATATATCCTACGAACTCTAGCTTTAAAACCGGGAATGACTCGACAGATAAGGCTAGACACAAGCAACAGTTATAACGAGCATATGCAGTTCACAAAAGATAAGGCGGACAAGGCAAGCATAAACGATAATCATAACCCAACATGAACAATCCCCAATATAAGTCCCATAGTCACATCCCCCAAGACACTCATAATCACAACTCATCCATATCACAACACATAACACACTTTGTTGGCGCCACAGGACCAATCGCATGCCCATACATGAGGGTCAGCGCATATAGCTCTGACACGGCCCCGCAGCACCCTGCCCCGTATCGCAACACGGAGGGGTCGATCGCAACCGACCGATGAACCGCAGCTCATCATAGTGTTTGATCGCAACCAAACAGTGGACCGCAGCCCAAGAGAATGTCATCTGACCGCAGCCAGGAAAAAGGACGAACCGCAGCTCGTATAGAAACGTTTGATCGCAACCAAACGGTGGACCGCAGCCCAAGAGTATCAATCTGACCGCAGCCAGCTTTTGAACCGTAGCTCAGGATCACCAATCCGATCGCAACCGAATTGGGGTAGCACACACATAACACGTAGCAAGCACATGCAACCCACATTACACATTAGGAAGGGGGAGAAAGCGCATAACAAAACCTATGCGTGATCCATCACATACTAAGAACAGTCCTAAGGGGTTCATACTTCTTCCACCTAGGTCAACGGGGTACCAATTCAACCAGCATGCAATATAATAGACTCATAAACCTACGAACGGTACCCAAAACATCAAACTAGACATAGGCACGATAAACGGGGTCCGTTGGGACACCACGGGGAACGGGGAACGTCAAACGGGGAAGCCGGGGTCCCGGGTGGGACGACTTTCCAGCGGGTAGCCGGTGGGTGGTGGGCCACCCGCCGGCTGCCCGCCGGGTTCTACTGTTCATATATTTGGGCCCATGGGCTACGGTGGCCTTTTTCCCTAATTAATCATTATAATTTATTCTTTCTCCTGGGCTATTAATTAATTAATTAATCAATTGGTTTTAGGATTCGTAACACGGGGTGTTACACTCTCCCCCCCTTAACAGGAAGCTTCGTCCCCGAAGCTTGGCCCCGGGTGAGAAAAAAGAAAGTTTTCTCTTAGTTACCTGGAGTGAACAGCTCGGGATACTGTTCCTTCATCGTGTCTTTAAGTTCCCATGTTGCTTCCTCGGTCCCGTGGTTGGTCCAGAGGACCTTCACCATTTCTATGACTCGGTTCCGGGTATTTCTTGTTTTGGTGTCCAGGATTCTTACGGGTTTCTCTTCGTACACTAGTGACTCGTCGAGGTCTACGGTCTCGTGTTGGAGTATGTGGCTTGGATCGTGTATGTATTTCTTTAGCTGAGATACGTGGAACACGTTGTGGACTCGTTCTAGCTCGACGGGTAAGGCGTGGCGGTAGGCCAATTCTCCGATTCTCTCCACGATTTCGTAAGGGCTGATGAATCGGGGGTTGAGTTTCCCTTTTCTTCCAAACCTCATTACTCCTCGTGTGGGCGAGATCCTTAGCCAGACCTTGTCTCCGAGGTTGAATTCGGTTTGCTTCCTCTTTAGGTCGGCGTAAGACTTCTGGCGATCTTGGGCGGCCTTCATCCTTTCCTGGATGTGTTTGACCTTAGCTATGGTGTCTCGTAGGTATTGGGGGCCCAGTGTTACCGGATTGACCATATCTTCCCAACATAATGGGGTTCTACATCTCTGACCATACAGTGCTTCGTAGGGTGCCATTCGAATGCTCGCGTGGTAGCTGTTGTTGTATGAGAACTCGATGAGGTCTAGGTGTTCTTCCCACGTCCCTCGGAAGTCTAGTGTGCAGGCTCTCAGCATGTCCTCGAGGGTTTGGATGGTTCTCTCGGTTTGGCCGTCTGTGGTGGGGTGAAAAGCTGTGCTTAGGTTTAGGTGCGTTCCCAATGCTGATTGTAGTGATTTCCAGAATTGTGAGAGGAATCTGGAATCTCTATCGGACACAATGTTTCGGGGGACTCCGTGGTATTTCACCACTCGGTTTATGTAGGCTTGGGCTAGTTGCGTCATTGTCCAGGTTTCCTTCATGGCAATGAATCGTGCCGTTTTGGTCAGCCGATCCACTATGACCCAGATTTTGTCCTTGCCGGTTCTTGTCGGGGGTAGCCCTCCGACGAAGTCCATGGATATGGAATCCCATTTTCCTTGGGGTATTTCGAGGGGTTGTACGAGTCCCTTGGGCCTGCATCGTTCGGCCTTTACTCTTTGGCAATTCGGGCACCTGGCCACGAAATCTGCGATTTCCTTCTTCATGTTTGGCCACCAAAACGTCCTCCTTACGTCTTGGTATAGCTTGTCACCTCCCGGGTGGACTGAGTACGGGGAGTTGTGTCCTTCCTCCAAGATCCGTTGTTTCAAGTGGGGGTGTGTTGAGGGTACACACCACCTTCCCTTGTAACGGAGGCGACCGTCCGGGTGTGCTTCGAAGGGGCCTTCCTTCCCTTGGGTTAGGTCGTGGCGAATCTTATCTAGTTCCGGGTCCTGATGTTGCCCTGCTTTGATCTCCTCGAAGAGGGCGGGTATGGCTTGCGTGTTGAGTAGGTAGGGATTAGGGCGGGTTTGTCCCTGCTCTATTATTTCTAAGTGTAGTTTTTGGAAGTCCTTGTATAGTTGGTCCGGTAGGACCCACGTGGTGTTGAGGGAATGGGTCGTCTTTCGGCTTAGAGCGTCTGCAACGACGTTGGCTTTTCCCTCGTGGTATTGGATGTCTAGGTCGTAGTCTTTTATGAGTTCTAGCCACCTTCGTTGTCTCATGTTTAGGTCCTTTTGGGCGAAGATATACTTTAAGCTCTTATGGTCGGTGTAGATTTTGCATTGCACACCATACAGGTAGTGTCTCCAGATCTTTAGTGCGAAAACGATAGCGGCTAGTTCGAGGTCATGGGTGGGGTAGTTTTCTTTGTGGGTCTTGAGTTTCCTGGATGCGTATGCTATTACCTTCCCTTTTTGCATCAGCACGCATCCCAACCCTTTCTTGGATGCATCGCTGTAGACCTCGAATTCTTCCGTCCCGGAGGGGATAGTTAGCACGGGCGCCGTGGTTAGCTTGTCCTTTAATTCTTGGAAGGCCGAGATGCAGTTGTTGTCCCATCGGAAGGGGGTTTCCTTTTTCATGAGCTTAATGAGGGGTTGGGCTATCTTGGTGAAGTCGGGTACAAACCTCCTGTAGTAACCAGCCAGGCCTAGGAAGCTTCGGACCTCCGAGAGTGAGCTTGGCGTGGTCCATTCTTTAACGGCACGAATCTTAGCGGGGTCCACCCTGATCCCCTCTTTGGTTATTACGTGACCCAAGAAGGCTACGCTGTCTTGCCAGAATTCGCACTTAGAGAATTTAGCGTAGAGTTGGTTTTCTCGGAGGGTTTGTAGTGATGTGCGAAGGTGCCTCCCATGCTCTTCTTTATCTCGGGAGTAGACTAGGATGTCGTCAATGAACACAATGACGAAGTCATCCAGGTAAGGTCGGAATACTCGATTCATGAGGTCCATGAATATGGCGGGTGCGTTAGTGAGGCCGAAGGGCATCACGGTAAACTCGTAGTGGCCGTAACGTGTTCGGAAGGCCGTTTTCTGGATGTCCGGTTTGGCCACTTGGATTTGATGATATCCGGATCTTAGGTCGATCTTCG